TATAGTATATAAGATATCAAATTTATAGCGACCTATATGAAATTCTTTTATATCATTTTATGAACTCAAATCTAAATTTCTAATCTTAAGAAATAATTTATAGAGAATCAATATAGAATCGATTTCAATTAATAAAAATAAATCTAATATATAAATAAAATAATCAATTTAATAAGATAGAAAGAACGAATTTATGTAAATAGATAAAATTAAAAAAATATCGAGAGATATTCGAAAGATAATCAATTTTTTTTCTATATGTCCCCTTATTCCTACCATATGCATATGCCAAAATATTTTTGCATAGATATACCTATATTTTAGAATTCATAATAATCAAATCATTGAATATATTCCTATAATTCTAGATCTCGAATACGCACCGAAAATCTAAATAAATTTATAATCGTGAACATACCAAATACCAGACTATCAATTCCGAGAACTAAGAGCTCATCATAGTAGTTTTGCAAGATTCCAAGACCACGAAAACGCCTATGCAATAGATTTTCAAGAAGAAACCCATCCAAAGACCCCCCCAATTTTAAGAGCTCAGGAGTACGCACCGAATCACGGATGAAAAAAAATATAGCATTTTATTAGAGAATATATCCATAATCATATATTTTCTATTCATTTATTTGAATATAATAATAATAAAAATCCTATTCACAAGAAATCAATATTGTTGAATCCATAATATAGTTAATAGAAAGTCGACTTCAGCATATCTAGCATATAAAATATGATAAAATAATTTATATCTAGCATTTTGCTTGAAGATTAAATGAGTAGAAGGGTGAAAGTAAATTCTCCCAGATTCTAGCTCTCTCGCCAATACAGGAAAGAGGAATGGGCGATGTCAAAAAATCCGAGGAATTTATAGGAATACATGGTTTCAGTTCAAGAAACCAAGGTACAGCGTATCTGAAAAATAGAATCCCTCCTTCCTACTTTCATACTGCGTATGTAAGAACATATAGAAAACGTTAGCCTTCAAAAGCCTGTCGAAATGATTCGCTCTTTGCGCAAGATTGCGAGCACTTTTCAGATCACCTCAGAATTTGCGCCCGTCGACTTTGTTCCTCAATATACGGCATAGCATGGCATAGCACGACAACCAATGAGAGCTGCACGCTGCTGTCCGCACATGAACGAAATAGATCCGGCACACAAAGCGTTCATTTGGAACAAGGATCGGATTGTAGTCTCTCACCTTCGCGAGGCAATGGGGCTGTGAGGTACGACTCCAAAGCAAAACACGCAGCCTCACCAAGCAGTAAATGCCACAGAGAGGCAAGAGGGGCAGTGTTCTGCCTCAAACCTCCACATCGGAAGCACTTCTCGTTGCGTGGGAAATTTCTTTCCCCACACCTTGGCAAAGGTGGATCTTTCGGCTCAACTCCACCCATCAGCCAATCGGATTCTAGGAAAGGGGCGGCTCCCCGTTTGCTTTCGACCGTAAGCAAATCCAGTCTTTGCTCTGATCTTCGCCCTCCTGGTAATTCGTGCATATGCGGTCATATGCGTGTCATGTGCATTGACCTGTGTGCCCCGGTGTCCTTGTATTTCGCCTTGCGTCCATCTTTGTACACCTGCACTTGGCCAAATTCGGCAGACATGGCTGGCACACACCACCCGGCAGGAGAATTGCTTAGTGCCGAGAAGATGCTGGAACCCCAACCCTTCATGAATGAATTGAGAGAAGCTGCTCGCACTTTTATGTCATATCCAGGTTCCGATTTCTCACCGAAACTGCATCTCAATCTAAATGAGCTGTCCGACTCCATGCATTTTCCACCGAATCTGAACCCCATGTTTGCCACCAGCAAGTTTCACGAAGATCACGAAGCCAAGAGCTGTGACAAGACAAGGAAGTCCCATCTCGAGGCCATGCCTCCTCATCATCTTTCCGTTCGATGAAAGAGAAGGCCCCGCAAGTCAGGCCTAGGGCCTCAACGGAGAGGAGCACCCATCGGTGCTGTCAGAGCTCAGAGCATCGGCTGCAAAATGTTTTTGGAGCCGTGCTCGCTGGATCCTGGAATCTGGATTTCGGGGATCAAGCTCCTGCACGGCTCGGCAAGCCATGGCAAGCCGTGTTCTGGAATCAAGACGTCTCACTGCAAGGCAAGCCTTGCCAGACGACGAGAAGTCCATGTCCATCACCTGCGCTCGGAAACAGCCATCTAGAGACCCAAGACTGCCCTCGAGCACTCAGCATTGGCCAGGCAACGAATGGAAGGCTGCTTGAGCTTGAGGAATCACTGCTTGAATCGCTCCTTAGCCAGCTTGGCAACACCTTACTGCCCTTCACAAGCCCACTTTTCAGGAGAAACCTCTCCCAAACGTATGGCAACTGCAAAGCCAAGACGCTTGATTCCTTTGCTGCTTTTGCCGTCCTTCTTCTTTTGAACGAGCTTCTGCATTTTCTTCCTTCGGTGGCAAACTACTTCAGGCTAGTCTGCAGATATCGTGGCGGAGATGATTGCCGTTAAGTTAAGCCCACGGTTCAGCTTCTTTGCAGCTTTCTTGGCTTTTTTGGCCTCGCAGCAGCAAGAAAAGGCTTAGAAGGCAAAGGATGCTGACTACGAACGATAGCTACCCGTGGATCATTTTAAAACCATCAGTACCTGCAGTGTGCATATGCATGCCGGTCCGTTTCTTTCATATCTAACCTGATTACTGACTGGCTCTTGTAGCATGTCGACAAGAGAAGCCTCCTTCTTTGCTTTCTTTTTGATTTTCCTGCACTGCACGAGCAGCCAGTTGTAGCCTTTAAGGTTCACCACGGCTGTGCCGTCTAAATGAGGAAAGCTTCTTCAACTTCTTGGCTTCTTTCTTGTCTCCTCCGTCCTCGACAAGGCAATGGGTCTCCAAGCCAGAACAAAAGCTTCAGAAAAGGTGTGTGGGCATGGCCTTCTCGGCATCAGCGCTCCCGTCGCACAGCTGAGGCGATCTTCCTTCAGATCACATCACAATTCAGACTTGCTCCACCAAGATCGACGCACTTCTGACAGATTGTCCGGAAACGAGTTTGCACGCACGGCCTCTTTTGGAACTCATGCTGGACACAGCACTTCCAGCTCCTGCAACCAAGCTCTGTGGCAAAGACACCACGGCAGTCGAGGAATGTCGAGGAGTCAGGCTTTGTTTCACTCTGTGTCCCAATACCGATACCTTACCCTGCTATCCTCACATTGCCCGCGGCTGCGCAGTGCCTCGGCCATGAACGGTCTGCGGATATTGCTGGCACATAACTGGTGTTTGGTCGCTCTTGGTCTTTGCTTGAACCAATGGATCTGCATCATAATCGCTTCCGCTTAAGGCATCTTAAGATGAAATGGCGAGCCTCACGAGACTCTGGAGCACCGTAAGATGGCTCCAAAAGCGAATCTGTTGCCTAGTTGCTCCTCGCAGAAAATTACTCCTGCCGATGAGTCCGATGCTTGGCGGTGCCTGTGGCATCACGAGTTTGCATGAAACGTGCTCGCCGGGCGGGACCAAAGTCAAAAAAGCAAACATACCTGAGATTGGGCATGGGCGGCACTGGAAGCTGATTCTGCCATCTGTTGGGCAGGGAGGCTCTGCTTTTTTGCCCATGGCTGTAGATGTCGGCGTATCACCATGGAAACAACAAATAGCACCGGGCGGAAGGTACCACTTCTCAGCCCTCCACACGAAACACGAGGAGCTCAACCCAAAACACGTCTCTGCTACTGATGAGCATTTGATGCATTTGCGTATAGCCCATCTTGTCACAACATACAGACTCACCCACTGCAAGGTGCTCGTCGTTATTTCAATACTCTTGTACATGCGCCGCTTGTCCCGGTGATGGGGCTAGCGGTGCACGTGCAAGTTCGCCAATGAAGCCCTCGAACCTTCAAGTTCGGCTGTGACCATACTCGACCATGGCCTGTTACTTACAGCGATTCGGGTGATAGTAGCCATAGATTTGCTTTCAAAGCATGTGTTCATATCTCGAGGCCCTCTGACGAGGTAGATATGTCTGCGGCTTAGCCACGACCTGAGCCGCTCGGCTGGGTTGCTGTTGCCCAGGGAATCTGAACTGGGGTTCTGTCCTGCTCGGTTGCCATTCCTGGCACGCCACAGGCCAAGAAGAAGATTTCAGACTCACGAAGACTCCTCATATCGCCACGGTCTCATGGACGTCCCCCCCGGTAGGAGTGAGTTGTCGCTCCACAGCAGGAAACAGCATTTTCATCTGGTACAAAGTTATAGGCTTCGCTCAGCAGGTTGATTGAAATGATTGCAATCTGTGAGCGATTCTGTCAGCAGCTAGGCTTGTACGTAGATCTACAGCGTGGCAGACTTGCCTTATCCTGGATTGCTGAGCACACGACCTGCAACCTCTGCCAATGATCTGACGCAAAAAATGCAACAGGTTCTGGCAGGCTAAGGCAAGATAAAGCCATCCTCTCCGAGAAACGAGCTGTACAAGAGGCTATTCAGGTGCGCATGGGTTCAAGCTGCAGCAAGAATGAATGTGTCCCAGCCGCTGCTTCAGAATTTCAGGGCTGACCATCTGCTGCCTGACTTGACCCCACTGAGTTGTAGCCTCGACCCGTCAGCTCCAACTTCACCGTAGTAGCAAAATCGATCTCCAACGCATCCCTCTATATACAGTGCAACATTCCAAACAACGACACGGAAAGATACGGTGAAGTCTTCCCTTAGGAAGCACCGAAGCACCCAGCCTGACAGAGCAGTGAAAAACAGCATGCATGGAATGGGGCTTGCCGATCCAAGCAGCTTACTTCGCACGAAGACACGCGTGCCTATGAACGCTGGGCAAAATGGCCATCGGAGAGGCATGGCCTTGGTGACATGTGTCGCCATGGCTGGCATAGTACAATGAGAGGAAACTCCGGCAGCCATCTCTGGACTTACCTGCTGTTCGATATCTTCATGAGCAGTTGAAGGTGAATGCCAGCCAAGCAGCACAGATCCAGAACGAAGCACGTGGATATTCAGAACCTGAACGATAATTACGTCAACTATCTGGCTTGGGGCCACGTCAACCTCCGCTTGACTTTGACTGGCTTGCATGTTCGCTGTTCAGCAACCTTGCACGTCTCTGGGGCTTCAAAGGACTTTCAAGTCTTTCGCTCCAAGGCCACGCGGGTCCTTTCGTGCGTAGGGATGACTGCAGCCTAGACTGCGTCTTCAAACATGTCCTCATACACCGTGAAGCTCACCTTTGCACCAGCTACCTGAAGCAGGACATGCTCGAAGGGAGCTCGACCTTGTCCTAGAATCCTCGGAGCCCTGCCAGTCCATCCTCCGGAGCGTCGGACTTCCCCACCTCGTGGATGCAAAACACGCAGTCTCGGCTGGTTTAACAAACAGCCGGTAATCTACGTTATGCTGCAACCGAGGGGCAAATATTTTGCCCTCGCGACGAGATGCCGCCTTGTGGTCGAGTTCGACGTCTGCCTTAATCCAGCCGTGCGACTCCTGCCAGGCTGCCAGGGCTAGACGTCACCAGTCCCAAGCCTGAAATGTCAATGACCAATGGAGCAACATGCAGGCACTCGTGGAAAACTACCATTCACGACAACGCGATTTCTGCTCATCACACCGTCCTTCCATTCAATGACTTCACCAGTGATGGACTCCGTGAGAACATCTTTGCGCGGAAGTTCGCCTGCAGCACTGGTCTCTGCGTACTCAAGGCGTCTCTGCCTGTTGTGTCTCGAAGCCTTTGGGAAGAACTGCGCGACTAGAGCACGGGCTGGCCCTCTCGAATGTCAAAGGCTTAGAAAGCATAAGGCTGCCTTCGGCAGCAGTTCAGCACTTCAGTATCAGCAGAAGCAGTGTCAAGTTAAACAGACGGGAGCGTCGCAAACCTGCCTGGTGCCTATCCCCAGCTCTAATTCGCCCACAGACCCGACCAGGTAAACATGATTTGACGGGTCTCAAGCTATGTGGCGTATTGATATGGCGTGCACACAACAGCACCGTGCCATAACGCCCATGCCACCGGCGCAGTCATTGCTTGGGGCATCCCTGTCTCCCTCACTCCACGACTCAGATTCACACAGGGCTAGACAAAGCCATGCTGATTGCAAGCGAGTAGCTCGAGGGCATGCCCCACCTAAGCTGCAGCCGTTTAGCAGTACCCCAACAGCCACGAGTGGTGCGGCTCGGTTCTCCAGTTGCCGGCAAGGCTCATCCATCCCCACTGCCAGGGATCCCACATAAAGCCTTTGCCCTTGCCCTGGCGACTGACCATGAGGCAGCGGGCTTTAAAGGACTGGCAAAGGAGGCCAGGAGATTTAGGCTTTGCGAGCCTTGCCGCCTTTGCCGAAGCCTTTCGGCTTGTCAGCTTCTTCCATGAGTTCCTTGTCCTGCTTGATCGATTCCAGCGCAATCTCTGCAGCACTTTGCTCTGCCTGAATCAAGTCGCTTCCAAGCCCGTCTCACGGCGCACTCCGCATTCACCATATCAAAAGCAAAGATCTGTCAGCCCTTCAGTTGTTCGCAATCGAGGGGCCTTCTGCTTCGTAGTGCAGACCTGCGACAAACGTGGATCATTCAAGTGGTGTGCTAGTGGCGATGACGTCGTGAAACCCGGCCGGCATGAAATCATAGCCGAGACACATGTCCGGCCCACATTCGCTCGCTCCACTCCCCCGGCAGCGCAGAAAGCTTGACTGTGGCCTGCTTTGTGCAAAGCTTAAGGCAGCCTTCGGCTGATTTCATCCCAGAAGCTATATGATTAAGTCTCTGTATAACTGTAGCGACTTTAGTGAGGTGCAGCAGCATTGAGCTCGCGTCCTGATGCCCACCGCCATTGTAGGTCTTCGTCTCGTAAACCGTCTCGCCCTGTGTTTACATCTTGTACTGACCGGCTCTTGGCGCGAGCTGCACGAGCCATACACGCCGTCCTTCTGGAGATAGCGCTTCGCGATTTTCATGACCAAGGCCTAAGCCAAGAAAAGACTGCCAGCTGCAGATATCTACGGTATCTTGCACTGCCTCAACTTCATATCCACAACTCTGGGGATGTGAGGCAGCCACGTTCAACAGCGTTTTTGGAGTGATTGCTGGATTGCCCTCAGCTTCTTGCTTGGCCTCCCGGTGCAAAGGGAGCAAGTCTTTGCTTGGGGCAAACCTGTGCGGGGCCTTGCGCTCAGCAATCTCTTCCGGTGTTCGGGGCTTCCTCTTCTTGTCCTCTCGTTCAAGAACAAAGATGCGTGCCAGCAGCAAACCCTGCCCTTTCTTTCGCTGAGACAAGCCAGCAGGCCAGTCCCTCTGCACGGGCGGCTTCAACACAGCCATCTGTGACGAGAAAGCCATGACAGCCTGCTCCGCAGCAGACCTCAGCGTCGCGATTGCCCGGCAAAGAGTGCTCGCACCCTGAATCACCCAGCATTCGGTCCCCAGCTTTTCTGCATCTTTTTGATTGATGCAGAGATGTCCAGCATACTCCTGGCCCTGGCATTGGCCACAGAGAGCACTCCGAGCAGTCTGCTTCCGCGTTCGTTCGTCTCCATGCCTGAATGCAATCGAGCTTAACGATCGCTTGGTACCTCGGAATCTCGGGCTTCTTGCAGCGCACACGCCTGCGCCCTGCTTTTTGGATGGTACGAGCAGTACCGAAGAGTCTTCGCAACTCGCAACACCGCTCGGGACGAGTCTTCAGTTCAATCAACACACGGAAGATTCTGGCAGGTGTAGCCAGTACAAAGATGCAGCTGGAGTGCTGATTTCCAAACCTGAAGTCCGGAACGGTGCCACTAAAGGGCTAGGCCAGGCATGTGCAAAGTGACATGACTCTGCTCGTATGTTGCGCCCAGCAGCTTGTTGGTGGTGTAGGATATATCACCTCCGACAGCAAACGCAGCGAATTTGACCGTGTGCCAGCCATGCAACCGGTGAGTTGAAACGAACCACGGTGCCACCAGGACACTCTTCGTTACAGGTCGCTGGCAGTACCTCTGGCAGAAGTGATTCCTCAGATGCAGCGGCGTCAAGTCGGAGAGCTTGCAAGGGCTTCTCAAGGTCTGAAGGCCTCTTGGATCCTTGGAGAAATACAAGTAGGCCGGGGTCTGTGCCGAGGTTCAACTGAGTCTTGGGGTCCTTGGACATCGCCTGTCCAGGGGGCGCCGTCGCCATCCTGAAAAAGGCGATGCCAGACCGTTTGTCTAAGTCTATGAAATCTCCCTCGCGGGGCTCTGGCTTTTTGCGCCCCTTTGCACGACGGCCACTGAGAGCTTCAGAAAGACAGAGCCAAAGCAAGGCTGCGAACACGAAATACAAGTACATGATACCAGTACATGACATGGCACATGTGCGACATGTCTGCCGAACGAGGAGAGACGCACACCCTGGCGTCTTTCTCTTGAAACTCCGCGATGCGAGGCGAAAGCTGCGAAAGCTGCTAACGAGGAGGCCACTTTACAGGCGCACCGCGAGACGCGACAACCATACGGCTGTGGTGCAGCGCAGTGCCGTGCAGCTCAGCTCATGGCGAAGCCGGCCTGGCAGGAACAAAACGACAATCGCTCATCCCCAATGACAGCTACATCTTTTTTGGTGTATTCTAACATCATTCTCGCTTTATGGTTTTAAGCTCTGTGTTGATGCAACCCTACCGGCCAAATACAAATTTACTCTGCTGGGTTTCAAGGGCGCCTCCACGAATGCGAATCTCCGTATGCAGGCAAACACTTCGGCACTTTTGGTTCGAAGCAACAGATACCACACATGTGGGTGCGACCGCACGGTGCCGGTTCGGCTCCGTGACCGGCATGCATCCGAGCAGAGGGTGTTGGAAACAGACCTAACTTTCTGCTTGCTTGATCGACATGCGCATGTCCACGTAGCTTCGCACAACTTCTTCCAGGACAGTAGTGGGTGTTGTCGGCATCGCCCCGTAGACCGCAGCTGCGCCGGAGGGTTTGTAAGATGGCGTGGCATCCAGAAAGTCAACAGCCGCACGCAGATCAGCTGTAAATTCATTTATAATTTCGTCGTGCCGCTCTCCTATACAAATGGTAAGGCAAGGTGGAAACTGTCCGGTCGCCAAGTTCCAACCTTTCTCTTCCAGGAGAGAGGCGACAGAGTAGATGTTGTACTTGCTGGACCCAACAGGTACGATGCAGGCATGACACTTGCAAAGCACGTGCCTAAGGCTCGCAGACTAGGATCTCGCAAAACTGAATCCCCAGTTTGTCGAGGCTGAATAGATCACAGAGGGACAGTAGGACAGGGAAAGAATCAGTTATGGCTGACGGGGCTCCCTCTCGCTTGACAGAGTGCATCCAAGGAGCAGGCCCGGAATAGCATCAATCACATCCTGATACAGTTTGTGAGCCCTGTGAATGCGAGCCGCAAATTTTGCGTAGCCAGCATCTCCAAAGAACAGCATGGTCGCCCATGCTTGTGCGATGACGGCCCCTCCTCGGGCCCCTTGCATGGTGGGTGTCACATACAAGCCTTCACAGCCATCCGTCACGGGGACGTAGGTCAGGCGACGCAGCGCTGGATCTCGGAAAGCGATGACACTGACGCCTTTCGAGGTGTTGCCATATTTGTGAAGATCCACACTGATAGAGCTGACTCCACGAACCCTGAAGTCCCAGGCTTGATGATCGGTCAAGCCCTGCTGGTCCATGTACGACAGAAGAACTCCGCCCAAGCAGTTGTCCACGTGCAGGCCAATACCCCATCTTTCGGCAAGCACGCCAAGGTCTTCAATGCAATCCACAACGCCATGGGGAAATGTAGGTGCAGAGGCGTAGATGCACACCACATCACCTGTAAGGTGTCTTCGTACTCGCCTGGCTCTCAGTGCAAAGCCTGTAGAATCATCGACTGGGATCTTCGTCAGCGTGATTCCGAAATAATGACAGGCTTTGACAATGCAAGGGTGACAGGTGTTGGCTGCCAAGATGCGAGGTGTGGCAATCCCGCGACTCCGTCCAAGCTCACCTGAGCCATGTTGCATGCGACGTGATGAAAATCACAAGAGTACTCCGCTCGATTCCTCTCAATGGAATGACGGAATGACTTTTCCCGCTGCGACTCCTTCCGACTCAAGACCGCCCTGCCTTCAAAAGACACTCAGATCTCAGGACTCAGGGTCGCGCGGTAGCACAGTGCCGCGAGCATCACGGATTCTGTTCCACCGGATGTCAACAGCCCGCAGGTAGATCTCGCGCCGTTCAGCATACGAACCGCCCAGCTAATCAGCTCTGCCTCATACTTGCGCACAGAGGGGAACACCCCCTCATACAAGGTATTGGAGCAGTTGTAGATGCCCCAGACCTTGTTCTGGAGATCCACCAATTCCCCAACCGGCGAGTGGTAAATACCGGCCCACTTCTTGCCGACGCCCACCTTGACAGAGGCACCCATGCGAAGCAAACTTCTACCCCAATGGAATCGTGATACGCAAACAAGACAAAGGACGCGCCCTCTGCCCCGTGCAGTCGGGCATCATACTCCGCAGCTTCGGCAGCGCTGGCCACCTGGATTCGCCTGAGGATCTCCTCGCGGGGAAGCCCCTGCTTTGGGAGCTCAAGCACTGCCGTAGGATCCCCATTGCCGTGGATGGATACTTCAATAGCCTTTAACTCTTTGGCGACCTCTCTGCGCACAATGCCTCTGATGTACGGCAACGAACATACAGTTCTCAGCACTTCCCTGCCAGCGAGGGCCACCATACCACGCAGACCCCTCTGCCACATCTCGATGCCCCAACGACGGCATGCAAGAACCGACAAAGCGACGCATAGCACATTCCAAGCAGCATTCAGGCGAATGCTACCGAAAGGCTGCCGCAGCTTCTCTTGGATGGGGCTTAACGTAGTGTGAAGACGAAGCGGAAGCAGCAGTGTCAGCACCACGCAAAATAGAACTTGCGGATCCGTGGCCATTGCTCACGGAATCCTTCTAAAAGCAGCGCAGGTCTAAAAAGAAAGGCACCGAACTGGACAAGCCGGCAGATAGATGATAGTTTCATTTGAAGCTTGAGGCAACAAGCCTTTTGTTTGTGGAGCGTGTCTCGATGGGACCGCTGAGCCAGGACGCAGCGCATCGATGCAGAAGGCTTCTCCAAACGTGATCCAAATCATTCGCGCCGGCCTGGCCTCAAAATTCATCACTGCTGTGTACAGGATCTTCTCCTAAGTTCAGGCTCGTCGTACCAGAAAGTGGCGTCATGGTACATGTGATCAATGCGGTGCAACCTCGCCTTCGTACATGGCTGTGCGTTTGCGAACCGTACAGACACATGTATCATGTAGGCAGCATGTCGGCAAAGAATATGTGGGACATTTTCGTCAGCTTGTCGGTCAGCGTTCGCCAACAGACTTCTCCACTCGAGGCATGAAGCTTCAACTCTCAGATGGCGATGCGGTGAACTTGCTCAAACCTCAAAGCCTCAGTGCAGAACACATCTGAAGTTGTTCATTGTCGTGCAAAAGCGGCTGGTGCAGTATCCAGTTCACACGCTTACTAAATAGTCTTTCCCCGCCGCCAGCCGACGAAGTCGCACTGCAGGGAACGGGTTAGGTTCGACCCAAATGAAGATCAGCAGCATCTTGATTGAACAACCGGATCATCTGATGGCACTTTGCCGTTGCAAAGCTTGACAGCTCTCCTCAGTGTGCCACTGTTGGCCATTGTCTTTGAAGGAGCTCCAGTGATGGCGACTCTCAGAACATGTGCGGGGCGGCCGTTTGGGATTGCTGCTGCAGCTACATGGAGTATGAGATGGTGGTCGAACGAGCTTTCTAGCAGACTAGTCTTCCGTGAACATTGAGAGACCGCCAAGCTTCCCCAAGCACCCATCTGGATGTAGGATCTGCAATGGAATGTCTGTGGGGCAGCCGAGGTAGAAGTGCTGATCCTGCTGTGGCACAATCACATTCGACAAACCTGTTTGCGACTGCCACAGCCGGTACAAGTCCTTCCAAACGAACGAGCCTCGACCACAGATACCTGCTCAATATGTAGGTCTCTGATTAGACTGGGAAGCTCCGCTTCCGAAGCAACCGTCAGATGACCGACTACAGCACACTCTTGATTCGAGATGCTGTACTCGATGACATCACCATTCTCCCGGAATTCGTGGAAGACCAGCTGGGAGACCTTCACCGCCACCTGTCCAAGGATGGCTCATGCTCTTGCTCTCTGAGACTGCTTCATGTCGTTCGACCTCTGCCCCACCAGTGCTGTTGACATACTTGGTGCCGAACCTGTGCGATGCACTGGTGCAGCAGACAATGAGGTCAAAAATGACTTCGACATGCAAACAACAAAAACGTATCGCAGCTGTAATCTGCAAGTGTCTCTGACATTACCGAAGCATAGGGCCGGAGCATTCCCGCCAACCAAAATAAGTCCTTCAAGAAGAGCGTGGCTGTGCCGGTGCTCTCACATGAAGTTCCTTGCCTGATATCCCGTCTTCGGTAGGCGAGTCTTGCCATCTCTGTCCACACTTGCAGCGACAAGTGCTCCACCTTGTATGCACAACGAGGCATGCGGCGAGTGTACGTCGGCTCCTCGAAATATTGAGAGTAGGGCGAGCTTCTGGTAAACGGACCGCTAAAGACGGTAAGTGTAGGTGATCTAGGTGAGGTAAAGTCTTCCTTCACTTTGATGGATGAGTTTATGCGATGGAACTCACCTTTCGGCATCGACATTCAGGCATGGAAGGCCGATTGCAAACATCAACCAGGACACAGTCAGATCCTTCGTTCGTGACCTCTCCGGCATGGAAGTCCAAGAGACGATAGTCCTAACGCGGGACGAAAGCAGCAAAAGCATCACTTCATGCTTCAGGCCTTGCTTCCCCACTCCCGTGATCCCCGGTCCGTGAAGCCACTTTCTTCATTGGAGCAGCTGGGTCTCGGCCTGTACATGTGCTTCATGGCTTAATGTGCTTGCTAGTGGCGGATCTCCCATGACCATCCCAATTCAGCTGCTTCGTCATCGGATTGCGTCCAGGACACCAACTGAATGCCACGCGAGCGATGACCAAACTCAAGGTCCTGTACGGTACGAGGAGGCTGGTCACATTGACACGGGTTCAATCCAGCTGGCTCCTTGGATCCTCGATCTCAACTTGTGCCCTGGATTCAATGAAGGACACCACTCTTTCCACGGGAAGGCTTACCTGAGCATGGTGGCACTGCCCAAACGGAGGGCATCAACCTCCACCGAAAACTGCTCAGGTACCTTGAAATGAAATCCGTGCGCATCTTCGCCTTGCCTCGGTAGCCAAGTCCAGCCGTCAGGTGCCACTTACCTCCACGGTCTTGCTGCAAGGCACCTCTCACGATACGCTTCGCGTGACTCTGGAGTGGCCTCGGCTGTACACGACAAAGCTAATCTTAGAAAGAGAAGCCGGGCCGTAATAGGGTCGAACGGGGCCATTTGAAAAGCAGCGAACTGGATTGGGCCGGGAAGCTGCCTGGATCACGAACTCGTTCGGCTCATCTTTTGTCGGCAAGTTCTGCCGGCTGGGCCTGCTTAGATTTCGGAGATGCCGCACGATGGCTTTCCCGGTCCTTAATGTGGTGGCAGCGTGGAATGCCATTTTCTGAGCTGCACAAATTTTTCCGCGACACAACCTCCAAGGCAGAAAACTGAGGCATCAACCTCTCAACCTGAAGTGCCAGACGTACAAAAGACACTGCTTTGTTGCGCCACCGAAGATGCAGAAGGGGCTCGCTGCTGCGAGCCGGACCCCTGTGCTGCTCTTGCGTACAGAAACTGTCATTGCCAGCAAGTTGCCCCGATACTCTTTGCGAGGCCAGCCGTTTCCTTAGGCATTGCCGTATGCGTGAAGGCCTGCGATCATCTTGAGAGTGTCACTGACGAGCAGCATTGACCGCATTGAGGATCTCGTCATGAAGCCCCGGCTTGATGCCATCAAGGGTAGCATTGATAGACAGGATGTCCCTCGAAGCGCTGCATGCAGCAGATCTGGCAAACTGCAGCAAGCGTAAGTGCACCGCAACCTTCCAACATAGAAAGTTTCGATCCGAGTCGCTCTTTCTTCAAGCCCACATCTGCAGCTGCTTCGAGAACATCCTGTTCTGATACCGGCCCGGTAGTCGAGGTTCCGATGTGCAATTTCCAGATTAGCTTCCTTGTTTGCGGATCTTGACCGAAATAAAGCTCAGAAACTGTGACAGGTCCAGCTTTTTTGGAAATCCATACCGACAAAACTCAGCACTTCGATAATGTCATCGTAGTGGTCCGGGTCGATGAGCTGCAGTGTTTCATTAAGCTGAGCAGACTGCCTCGGCAGAAGGAGTGAGATGTGCTTTTGCATCTAGAGCGACAGGTTACCAGCACGAGTCTCCTTCTGTTGAGCTGCTTGGAATCAAATCCCATCTGCGACACCACGTCGAGAATCGCATGCGCATGGACCGGTGGACTGGTTGTAGTTGACGTGGTGGACGTGTTGGTGCGCGGACTAGCCTTACAGGTACGGTTCTTGCCAGATGTCAACCGACAAAGGCTGCAGAACTGCTGCAGAACACAAGCCGAGGAACGGTTGTATTCTGGGATGCTACCGAGCTTGCCCTCGGATGGCAAGGCCAGGCATTTGCAGGGTAGCGTTCATGCTCACTGGGATGTCGATTCGCCCTTGAGAAAATCCTTCCGCTCTGATTCGCCATTGCAGCCGGAACACAGCACATGCATCAGAGATCTCTTTGCAGCAGGTTCCATGTCATCCAAGAGGTTTTGCAGCTCTGCGTCCTTCCTCAAATGCGCAGGCTTGCACGAGTTTCGTAGCTATCCAAGGACCGAGCCCAACCAAGTGGCGCAGAGCTGTAGCCAAGATTTCGCACCGCCTCGTGGATCGCCTTGTCTAGCTGCATGCTCAGCACCGCCTGCGCAGACTTCAAGATACGATACCTCCTTCACCGGTATGTGCTGCTTTTGACTCATGCATTGACGGGATCGAAGCTGTCACCGCTTCCACAGCCTTACATCCACAAGTGGCCATGCAGTTCTCCTGGGCCCAATCGCCTGTCCAAGCTGGAAATCCTAACGCTTGTGAGCCCCGGCCCCGGCACCGCCCGCCTTTGCAAGCTCCTTTCATTGAGGCTGCGTTGGAGAGAGCTCCCCATTCACCATCTCGCGCCTCGAGACAAAGAGAGCTCGACTTCAGGCTTGGGGCCTTCCGTGTCCCTTCAGTCAAGAGGCCCACTCTTCACAGTTTTCTGCTGGACTTTTTGAGCTCCACTCTGGCTGCCAGGTGTCCTCACAGTCCTGGACTACCAACCCCCTGCAATCCCCGTGTGCCAAGAGCATCAGCCTCTCTGTGCCCTGCCTCTTCAGAGAAAGTCAGCTTCGAGACGTTGGAATTCTTAAGCTTGGCCAGGGCGTCCCGCGTGGCATTGCCGAGCTTGCTGGCATTGTGCTGCGAAGACTTTCCAGAATTGCTCTCGACGGAGTGCGTGGCATTCTCTTCGGAATCTGCAGATGATCTCACCACATCCGCAATCGAGGAACCTTAGCCATTTTGTTAGTCTACATCTGTGCCGAGCTGCGACCGCAGCTGGCCTGCAAAGCATGAGGTCAACCCTGCGCCAGTACCTGCTAAGCTGAGGGGCCGCTGGTCCCAAAAAACCTCGGCAATGTGAGACCACTTCTAGAGTCTAGAGGCAAGACCAGCACGCTTGAAGAGTCTGCACCTCGCCCAGAGTCCATCCACACCGACTGGCCGGTGTTCATGGGTCTCCGCGAGTTCTTGGTCCTGGCCATTAAACTCAGCCTGAATCCCACGCGGCCGGCCGCAAATTTCGGCACCTCCTGGCGCATCAAGGCCGGCATTGTGGCCGACCCTTGGGCATCCACCACAGCGGCTCGCCTTTACAGCAGTGCACTTCCGCACAATCGAAAAGAAACCTGCTCTTACCGGGGCTCTTGCTTTGGCCTTTGTGAATCCTGCACTGAGATGCTGCTTGCCGACAGCTGCTCGAAGACGGAACCTGACATTGAAGTTTTATGGAAGCTTGCACAGGTTGGCAGTACTTGACAAATGCTTGGGACTCGGCTGAGAAGTAGCCAGTGACGAAGACCATGCAATCCAGCCTTCATGGCCTCAGCTTCTGATGGCCCGGGCTGAAACTTTTATGAAGTTTTGCCGCAGACGTTTCTGATAGCGACCAAGGGGCTGAGATATGGAGACAGCTGCATCAAACAACTATCGGCCCGTTTTTGCTCCGAACCGCAGGGCTGAATGCAAGCACATGAGTTCAACTCTGCTCATTCTCACATGCGAAATGAGGTTTGTGACCTCTCCGCGTAGGTTTCTGAGACTTTGGCCAAGTCTTCCTCGGAGTCGCAGAGCGGGATCCACAGCTCGTTTCCGCAAGTATGCCTTGAACACCATTGGGAGCTTATTCGCGAAAACAGGCTGTGGCTCTGCGTGGTATCCACGAGACAGAAACAACGAAGCTAGCTCTGGCTGGATCCCAGTACCGACCGTCCAGCTCCGGATCTAGTGGAGAGAGACGCCGACGGACGAAAAGACGCTGTCGACAATTTGCCACGGCACCCTTCCGGCAGGCGTGTTGCCGGCCACGATTCGATCCTGCACCAGCCAAGACAAGAAAACGACCCCTGTCCCGGCATCTTTCGTCCTCTTCACGATCGCCATTTCAGTGCGGTCATCAGCTGCCATGCTTAGTTGCACTGGCATGTGCAGTCCATCTGCATCAGACATTTGCCAAAATAGCACTGCTCAGTCTTTCCTTGACGTCTACATGCGAGGATATCTTTGGAAAGTAGCTCGATCTTTCTGCGTCGAACTTTGCGTCGGTCGCCGGTCCGGCGGTTGACCTGAACCTTGGCACCTGAGACAGTTGAGGTGTGAAACGCTCGCGAAAAAAAGCTCATGCGACGCCGGATTGAGCCGCAGACGTATGTCTATGACATACATGTTTCGGCCCACTTGGAGTTCCAACATCCTGCATTAAGACATGGGCCAAGAGTCCGTGCACTCGCTACGCTCGCAGCTGTGCGCAAAGCCCGGCCTCAAACCGGCCTCGAGCGTGTTGTTCAAGCTTCCGCTGATTTCAGGGCTATAGGCAGACCACGAATTGTTGGGCAGCTGCACTTCCCACATGAAATTTGCCTGGGAGGGATGGCGTCCGTGGCGAGCTTGAAAAGACCCGATGTTGATCGACTTTGCTTTTTTCTGCTACTCTGCTACACGCTCTCTCACAAAGTCTAGAGTCTAGTGGGCGGTCTGCCTTTGCTGGGCTCGGGTGCTTCATGCTGCTTCATTGTGCTATTGCATGCATCGAAGCGGAGCGGAACTTTGCTCCAGGCACTTCCTTGTCGCCAAATCTTGATTGCAGGGGGCCACAGACGACCTCTTGCTCGCTGGCTCGCTCCGCTGCCGATGACGCTGGCATGTGAAACGCTTCACTGGCGTCCTGCACCCGTTCACTGTGCCCGCCGTTCAAGACCGCTCGTATGCACTATTTCGCCTTGCATTGATCGGCCGATGGCTGAGGCGTCGGGAGCTTCTTGAAAGCCACGGCTCTGATGTGCCGCGGTCTGAGTGGTTGTGGTCGCCGGGCGTTTATTATCATGAGTTCCAGAAAATGTTTTACCAACTGTTTCAGCTTTAAGTCTCAAGCTCGACCCCAACCCGATACTGGCATCAATCCAGACAGACCTTCGCAACAGTGCCGAAAATTCCTTTGCTGGAAGCGGCCGCTTTTTTGTGAGGATGGTGGATTGTGTGTTGATGTTTCCTTCGTCTCGGGCCTACGTAAGACTGGCCTGTTGCTCATGTTCGGGCAGTTTTTTTTGAAACGGTTCCGGGCGGGGATGCTGGTTCATTCTCGTTAGAACAGCACTGGACAAGCGAAGAAATATTGTTACAAACCCTCCCTACATACAAATGCTTGTACGACCATATGTATATATATACTGTGTGTTCTGTTTTAGTGAAGCAGTTGTCTATCGTTCTGCTTCTTTCTCGCTATCCAAGAATCCAAGCTGCACTAAAAAGGGGCTTCTCCTGCGAGATCATCACCTGCAGCCTGGGCTTCGGCTCGATAGCTTCCACGCCACCAAGGGGCAAACGCTCGCTCCCGGTCCAGAATTCCAAAAGCCTCGACCTGCCAAGATCAAGGAGCATACTTGACCTTTACGCGCGACAGGTAAATCTGTGTATATGCGCAATCACATGTGCGTATACAGAGCAGAATGCGCGTTTCAAGCTGAACGTCGACACTACAAAGAATTACATGCACATACTCACCCCACCGTCGACCTTGTCAAAGATGCAAGACTTAAGGGGGTGTGTTGAGCATGCAATGGGCAAGACAAAAAGCAACAACAGAAGCGTGGATAAAGGAAGCTGCTTCTGTGTCACTAAACATTCATTGTAGACATCTTTCTTATTACATCGTCGTGTATCTCAACGAGAACCGAACAAGCACCCCCTCTGTCTGTGCATGTGCCAGGACTTCTTGTTGACGTGCCACGCTAGGTCCACGGATCGTTTTTGAGTGGTGATCAGTATGGACGGTTCTGGACATAAACAGCACTTCGCAGCAAGGCTAGCCTTGCAATCGCTCTCTCGTTGTACCTATTGGAGTTTGCAGTGGCAGCACAAGACGAAGCCACTCACTGAATCGAGCTTCGTGTGTGTGTGTGTGTGCGCACGCCTTCACGACAGAATTTTGGGCTCAGGGTGCGCCATTCCGCGCATGTCATACAAGTGTCCGAAACCATTGGGCATCTGCAATATCTATACCGCCTATACTGGTACATGGGCCTTCGAACACCACAGTCATTATCGGGCAGCATTAGCCGCGACCTAATGGTCCAGTGCGGTTCCGACAGCCTACTTCATAACTAGCAACTAGCAGTCCTTCAGGATCCAGCAGAGCACAGAATTTGTGATTAGTGATAGTTGCAGCCTGAACTTGGAGTCCCCTCGCCGGATGATCTTGAACAGCCAGGCCAGCGATGTCTGGAGTTCCTTGGTATCCTTGAGGTGCTTGGGGACCAGGCCATCTGGCACCAGAACCTGCTCGAGCTTCTCGATCTGCACATCCGAAATCTGGGCATCGCCAAGCAGGAGCCTCCGTTCTACTGTACGCCAATGCTCCAAAACGAAAGATATGCAGCTCAGAGCATTTTCGAATCTACAGTCGGCAGTCAGCCGGACACTGAAGAATAGACTGTGGCATGCGGGTTGCTGTCGGCTTGTGGCCATGGACACTACACAACATGCTGCTCACATGAGATAATCTCGGCAGCAGCTCCATCCCTGGGACGCAGGATCCTGTGGGGAGCACAGGGAAACCAACAAAACTAAACTAGGCAAGGAGCCACTGAAAAACGTCAGCAGGCGCTCCGTAGAAAAGGCTTGGAGGAAGGACATCGAAGAATCCATCGCTAAATGCTTGCAGTGCTTTCTGAGAAGAGTATAACAAAGCTGCCTTGCAGCAAAGTCGGACATACTCTGCTTTGTTCTCCGGAGAGACTTCGACATCATCGCCTCCTGGAACGAGCTCTCGGCCGGCGTAGGAGAAGGTGAGCCATTGCAGGTCTTCGTCGGGCATCTCATACCGGACTCTCCACAAACTGTTGGCAAAGGCAGGATCCATTGTTGCGAGATCCTCCAAAAGTTGGTCGTCACCTGCCGGCGTGTCATCCCACACCGGCAGGGCAGCATGGCGAGGTATTGGGCAGTCGATGCATCGAACCCACACATCGCCATCACTCCAGCGCAGTCGACCGCCTTCCAAGTCAAGTCAGCGAGTCGTAAGCTTGGGAGAACTCTTTTCTGAGGGTGGGGGCCATTGAGAAACGATTTAAAAAAAGCAACAAGTCTTTGAGCAGCGCAGTCCTGCGAGTCTGGCTGTCAGGGACTCTCCATCGAACTCTGCTTGCAGCGCATCACCTGTCATGGCACGAAAGAACTCCCCTTTGAAGATGGACAGCAATGTTCATGTGACATATTCGGAAGCAAGCTGGCCTGATTCTGAGACTTGCAGAGCGATCTGCGGAGGCAAGCCGTTCTCATCCTCGGCAACACAACATGGCAAATTGTCGCGAAACCTGGACATGCAATGACATCCAGAGCAACAGCAGAGCAGATGAAATCATCCAAATTCAAGCGTCTGCATGGCTCAGGAGGACCCTTCCAGAGATGGTAGCGATGCGGCTGTCCTCCCCCTCCCTTTGCCAGTCCCCTGCCACAGCTGCCAGAATCGGGGGCAGCGCTGCTTGCGTCTCACTCACCCGCATGAGCCAGCGCAAGGCCCAGGGACTCAGAGCACAGTCCAACACGCAGCCTTGATACAAAGAGTAGGCGAGAAAGCGGCCCACCCATCTGTACAAAGACTCGGCCTTGACATGGAAAGCATGGATGCGCATGTCGGTAGTGCTGTCAGGCTTGAAGAAGCTGCCCGAAGCTTTCGTATCAAAGAACTCCTCACTTGCCCATAAGGCATGACCCACTTCCTGCACCCAACGTTTTGTCAGTCCACCATGGTCAATGCCGGCATCGTCCCCAGTGAACTGTATCTTAAAGCCGTGCATCCATTCCTTGCCGCTTCTGGCAGTTGTTTTCGCAAAAGACCAAGCCAACATCTGCCTGGCTGCCTTCATGCGATGTTCTGGATCCGCGTCTCCACCAGGGAAAGGACCAGACACTTCCAAAAGTCTTGCATGGGAGGGTGCCGCATTCCCAGCTCTGTTCCACCCATGCTTTGCCCTCAGATCTTCCAAAGCTTTGGAGAACTTCTTTACTGCCTCCTTGTCGGCTTCAGTAGGCTTCTTGCGACCTTCCGTCTTAAACAATGCTGGCATCTTCTTACCAGGACTGTCTTCTTGCCCACGCAAACTAATGAATTCCTCACTGGACTGCAGCTTGTGTAGCAGACCTTCGTTGCCCAAAAAAGCAGACTTAGTGAGGAGAGCATTCGGGTCGAGCGCAGCCATCTCACGGTAGTGAGTGTTCACATAGCTTTCAATCCACTGTCTGCCAAGCTCACCTACTTGGTAGGCAGCTGCCAAGGCAGGCGCTAACTCCTCTGGAGACAGATGTCCATCTTTGTTCGCATCCCAATAATCGAACCAAACCTTCAGGGCCAGTCACATGAGTCGCTGAATGAAAGTCTTGCACAAGTGAATCGTGGGAAGGGGTGGGCCGCCTCTGGGTCAGCAAACAGGTCAGGAACGAGACCCCAAATCTCACATGCTTGGGCTCGGAAGATCTGATCGCCCAGGTTGTATGCCTTCCTTGGACATGGCACATGATGCCTGAATCCGCGGTGCCACGCACTGCTATATGCTTCACCCAAGGTGCTGTCCAGACGAGTCCTGCGCCTCAAGGTTCCCACCCTGCGAATGGATCAAGCGAAGGAGTTCTGTAGCACGCCGTGTCTTTGGGCGTCCAGCAGCTATTTTGTGCAGCACTGTCTGACCTCAGGGAAGAGAAATTCAGTAGGGCCTACGAGGCGAGAGGCTGCCGACCTCTGAGCCAGCCGAGGCACCTTCTTCGTTTTGCGCTTGCGCTACTGCCGGGAATTCCGTCAGAATGTGCGCCAGGAGGGACCAGCGTCCGTCGGAGGCAGCCTTAAAGCAGCGCTGGCGAAGGTCCTCCATGTGCTTGGAGGATGCCGGAAGCACTTCACCGACGACTCGAAAAGGAAGGGCCGATGACTGCAGAACCTCCCACGAGAGCAGTGGAGGTGAACGTTTGTCTGGGATGGACATTTAGGCCCTGTACAGTTTGTTGCCTCCTGCATTGCTGAGCGAATCACTATGCAGGGTTGCAGTTCGAACCATCAGCCCTGTATGGTCTTGGGGACTTCTGAAAACTGAACAAGTTCCGACCCCAGGTTCAGGCCCCTTGGCTGCGGGGCCTCGGGCTGCGAAGACCTCTTTGGAATTTGAGAAAGGAGCTCGAGGGTGCGGGCTTCGCTGGTCACAGGCGCCCCAACGACTTCGAAAAAGCGATCCCTGCCGCCCGTGTCCTCCTCATCGAGCTCGTGGAAAAGGAAGACGAAACCCCCATGCCGAGCCCCTGGTCTCAGTAGCTTTTCCTCGGGGCAAATCCAGCAGAGGTATCGAGCTCCAGCACCGGCCCACTTTTGGACGGTGACCTTTCGGAAGCGCCCGGCTTCGGCAAGCTTGCGAGTCCACTCAGAACACCACGGCTGTGGAGCCGAGAACTGCGTAGGGCCACTTGGGTGAAAAGATACGGAGTTTGCGCACAACACCTTTAGCTGCGAGTTCTCATCCTCCTGCAGGAGAACAAATCCGCCAACCGTCAGAAACGACCAGTCCGCTGCTGTGCCGTCTTCTTCTCTTTCTGAATCACCTAAGATGATGTGCCACTCGAGCTGTAGAGCATACATCCAAGCCACCAGAACCCCGGGTACGTCAGGAATACGGCTCGCCCTGCGCACTTCTGAACACAGTTTGGTCGGAGCTATGGGCGAAAGATCCACTGCAATGCCCGTGCCTTTTTGCGGCAGTTCGATCGCAACACCATTCTCTTGCAAGGCTTGCCAGCATCTTCGAAGACTCCTTCCGCCACGTTGGAAGAAGGTGTCGCGCAAGATCCAAGAGCCGCTGCGTGACCGCGGATCGCTGCGGAAGAGATCCGAGCCATCGAGGCTTGTTCGTTGAATACTGAAAGGACCAAGCCCACCAGGAAACGTGAACGTGCATGGCTCCACGAAGTAATTACTCTTCTCGGCCTCCTTCTTGCATATGCTGCAAACTCGGAAGTCGCAGCCAGCAGCGCATTCATAGTAAACTCCGCCTCGGCGAGACACCTTCTCTCCACAAACATCGCAGTAACGCCTGGAGAAGAGGCCTAGCTTCCTTCCTTCGGAAGTGGTAGCGTGACCTCTCGGGCAAAGCATCCAACTGTAGGCTATGTCAAGTCGAGCCAAGCCATTGCAGCTACAGCATGGGAAACGGCTCAAGTCATGCCACACCGAAACTACCACCTGAACTGGGGGACGAAACTCTCTGATGAGTATTCGGCCGGCCGCTTGCCGATCTTACTGCACCAGTGTTACAGTACAATGCGGCTGCACTGCTGTCTAAAACTCTGGGCAGACTGGTGAACAGAGCAGCTGAAGGTTGAAGGCCCAATGCACAAGCCATCGCAGCAAGCATACAGGGACATCTCCACACGTGATGCAATGATGCATGCAGCCGCAAGTAGCTTATTTTACTATTAAAACGCTTCGGCTCAAGCAGAAAACACAGCCTGGGCAGCATTCCCTATGGGAATCGCACGTTGTCGCCCATCTTTGACGGGCAAGCCAACTTGTGGTACTTGGCCTTGCGCTGAACTCGACCTGCCTGCACTTTGCAGCAAGGCTTCCCAAGCCATGCCTCAACAAGCTTAGCATCTTCATCATCGAAACCCGGAAATGCAACATTCATCGCTTTCTGACACCCAGCGGGGCCGGAATATCTGCGGTAGACATAGCTCACGAACATCAGATGATCATATTCTTTTTTCTGCTTGTCCACTGCTTCAACATCGAACTCCTTGTGAAGCAGCGCTTCCAAGCGGGTCACCTCCGACGGAAACTGGTTCGCCAGATCCGTAAGCTCCCATGGATCCTCGGCAATGTTAAAGAGCTGCGCGGGCCAGCGAAGCCCACTTTCCAAGGGAGCGTGCACGATTAGCTTCTTCTGGCCGTGTCTTACCATGAAGGTCCCGGTCCTCGAAAATGTGTCATAGTATTCAGAAACCACATAACCCTTCTTGCGCTGGTCCCAATGGGCAATTGGCAGCACAGACTCTCCGGCAAGTTTGTCTGCTGGGACACGCGAGCGTGCACCGGCCATGTCGATGAGCGTTGGGTATATGTCGTTCAAGGAGGCAAGAGACTGAATTCTCCGTCCTTTCGGCATGCCAGGCCCGGAAACGATCAGGGGGATGCGTGCCGAGGCCTCCTTCATGGAGCTCTTCTGCCACTGACGATGCTCGAGGTTCAGCTCGCCATGGTCAGACACCTCAACCACGGACAAATGCCCCCAACTGCAATCACACCCTGAAAGTATTCAGCCCCTAGCTTTACGTATGGTTCAGTCTGTGCGGTCTGTTGAGGATGGCACATTCATGAGGCTTCAGGCCGCATGTCCCACGCAAAATACTCCCTTTCGTGATTTCGGGGTCCACGGATTGAATAGGTCGGACCAGAGGGCCTGGCACCAGCTTCGTGGGGTGGTCGGTCTAAGGGGAAGGTCTGCAGCCGGGAGGCGAAGATAACGTAAGCACTGTCGGGGTTCACATTCTTCCAGAAAGCGCTCAAGATCCTTCCTACGAGGTGATCTGCTTCGACACACATCGCAAAGTAGACACGCCGGAAATGCTCGATGTGCTCCGACGAGCAGTTGTCCAAATTCCAGAACTGCTTAGACTTGACAGCATACTCATCCGCGGGATGCAACTTATTCCGTGGCACCAATGGAGGTATGGCATGCTTTCCAAGTGGTCCAACTGCATTCCAGTATGTACTGTTGGTCTGATACGGCGGATGCGGCACTGCGAATGAACAGTATAGAAACTGCGGTGTAGATGACTTGAAGAGCCCTTGCTCCAACAAGCGCGTACACTCCTCTGCGGTTGGATAATCGAAGAAGTTTTCTGCCGGCTTCGGAACATCAATCGGTCTTTGGAGCCAATCTGTCGGGTCCTGCAACTTGGAGGACACGCCTGTGGAACGTGTCCAGGCCTTAGCAGACTCACGGACTAGTCCTGTTCCCGTGAACGGGTCATTAAAAATGTGTCGGCTAAAGCGTTCCACACCGCCGCCGGCATGGACTTTACCCCAAAGGGTCAGGTTGTAACCCTGGTCAGCAAGAACATCGAAGAACGTGCCGTTGATTTTTTGCACAGCTGCGAACTCAAGACATTCCCGGCGGGAGTATGCAGCAAGGCATCTTTGATCTATCTGGGTGTCGTCCCCATTGACATTCGCGATGCCCACGAAGTTGTCCCAAATCTTAATATCAGAGTTGTACCGTCCAGTCACCATCGATGTTCTCGCAGGAACACACAACGGGGAATTGCTATACGTATTTGGAAAATAAGCACCCCTATTCATGAGGGCTCGTAAATTCGGCAAAGGCGGCTTGAACTGAGGTGTTTCATCGTCGAGGAGTCGACCATCCATCTCATCCACCATAAGGAACAAGATGTGAGGACGTTCATGCCTCTCGCGCTGCTCTGCAGCGAGAACCAGACTGCCAGCTGCAAGGCTCAAGAAGGCCCTCGCAAGCCGCCACAGCCACATTATGCACCAACCGATGAAGTAGAAGAACGTGGGCTGACCATGAGCTACAACTATTCGGTATCTACCTTGGGTCAAAACTGCAACAATTCCAACAAGCTTGCTGTTCAGCTGCCCGGCGCATGCACACCGACCTGATGCAAGGCTAGACCATAGTGCCATAGTGGCATATTCAAGGGGGGGATCTCGCGCTGTGCCTTTTGGATTCAGGGGCCTCGGTTTTGTGGGTGCCTTGTGTCTTCCTGCGATTCGAAGCCTGGGAAGCATGGAAAAACGTGCAGACGTCTCCGCACGCGTGTAGGGACGGATAGAGGGAGACGGAGATTCAGAGAGAGCGAGTGTGACAGAATTTGACTGCACGCAGGCCCTTTTTGCATCCGGCTGGGAGCACTGGGCGGGGCCCTCCTTTGCGCAGCCTGGAGCATGATGCAACAGCAACGCAGCCGTGAGGGTTTCGTCGATTTCGTCGTCTATACAGAGAGCTGTACACTCGCGAAGCATCTTTGGCTTGAGGTCGCCGAGACCCGATCCAGTGTAGAGCACGGCTCCGAACTTGATGCCACTATGTCTTGCTTCCAAACCAAACCACGCGTTGATCCTTGTGGAACTCCAAGGAGGCACCTGCAGGCATCGCGTCGAAGATACGGCAGCGCGAAGTGCTGGCCAGAAACTCCTCCCATGGGTCACAACAACCAGCATCAAAAACCCTTACTTCAGTGGGCTGTGCATCACTGTGGCACCTGGGATGGTGTGCGGAGCTGCAGGAGCGACAAAGAGCTCATTGTAGCCAGGACTCCCGGCAGCTCTCCCATACTCTCCACGTCAAAGGGGACCTTCCCGACGGAAGAGCGCTCACACTCCCAGCTGATTTCAAGTCCTTTGGGGGCCTTCCGCAAGTCCACCTCGAAGAAAAGCGGTGACAGGTGCGGCGCACGAAGCATTTCCAGCAAAAGCGTCACCTGCGACTAGTCAAATGCATCTGTCTTTGCTGGTGTCACTCAGCAAGTGTTGCCTGCTTCGCTGCAGGCATTGTGAGCGTGCGTCCTGAAGTCAGTTGTCGGCCGCATCTTTGTGCGGGGAACCGGCACAAAATCATGTCTTCGGAACTTTCCTAGTCTGTCGCTTCCCGCGCGTTACGTGATCCCTCCACGTACTGATTTACAGTACTGTCTACTGTGCATGTGGTATTCTCTGGTGCTTCCGGTTCAAGCCACGTAGTGCTAGGTGGTACTCTGTTTCGACGCATTCCGTAGTCTTCGTCACCCAAGTGCTATCTTCTAATCCATCCGTCCTTCAATGCATCTGTGCATGCATACATTCAGTTATCTATTCATGCGATGTCCATCAGTACAAGCAGTCCAGAAAAAACTTAAGCCAGCAAACAAACAAAAGATTAGAAGCCAGCCGACTAAGAAGCCAACGAAGGCGAGCACCAGTGCCACCTGCATTACCATCACGAACAGACGGAAAGCAACAAAGCCAACCCATCCCTCTGCGACATTCATGGACGGCCACAGTCCTCTCCGAGATTCCTTTGGGCCGTCCAGAAAGCTCGGCTCGTAAACAAAGCTGCGCAGCCGCAGCCTGCGGTAAAAGTCAGACCTATGGAAGGTCGTTTAAGTCATGTTGAGCATTCATGGTCGGCCTCAGTGAATCCATCGCGACGTCATAGCTGGCGATGGAGATGGCGCTAACTTGCAGCACCTCAGCCAATCAAGCTTCAAGCTGCCTCTGTCTTGTGATACACTTGGCTCCGAGCTTCTTTGATGGAAAGAAAATGCAGAGGACGCACGTGGCGAACCGCAGCTGGCAAGATCCCACGCGGTCGCCGCGAGAGACGAGCCTGACACAAGGACTGCCCTGCTGCACAACTTGCAGTGCGGAGGAGAGGTATCGGCTGGCACCGGCCTGCATGGTTCGCGGCCGCACGAGCTGACGCAACAGCGCTCGCATCTTGCCAAACATCCCAGGCGTGGCGTCCTGCTCACAGCCTACAGGACCTACCGACCTCCGAATGTAATGTTAGCATGGCCATGACTATGAATCAGCATTTGCCAAGTAACCAAACGGCCCACAAGCGCAGCCAGGACGAGGAAGGTTGGGGGAAGGTCTTCCGGGAGTGTCTGTGGGTGAGGTTTTCGCTGTGGTTCTCGCATACTAGTCTGAACCCCCTTTACCCGTTGCACTCGCTCGCCCCCTGCAAAAAGGTCTGAATCGAACTCGCAACTCGTACCCCTGAAACCAACAACATCCTAGCAGAAATCTGGCCACGTCTCCCTGAGCTGCGCGACGGCATGCCGATCATCGCCAGGATAACCCAGCATCTGCTGAAGCTGGTTCCCTACCTACAGGCGCACACTTTCACTTTATGAAGTAGAAACATTTCTGTCTCCGGGTCCCTGCCTGAAACTTGCGCCTAGTGCGCTCTGCCGCTACGGCAGCCAGAAGCTTCCGCTGCTTCACTGGCTGCGACTCTTTCCTGAGCTGCCCGGGCTGTCCGATGTTGGGTGACTTTTGACACCTCATGTGCCCTCTATATGCCCTCATACTACTTTTGAGCGCAGCGAGGCTCTCTGCCAGCACCCTGGCTTTCGCAGCCGTCTGCCATTTGGAAACCACCTTGCACGAACTCATGAATGACAGCTTCCGTTGGGAACCGTTGGGCACTTTCTAAAACCGTGCGATGCCTTTGCGAGGCTGCGCTTCGGGGTGCTTGCCGTGATGGAGAGGAGCTCTTCGCGCAGCTTCAGGGCGAGCCTTGGTAGTCATGCAGGCGCCAAGGCCGTCTTTGCAATGTACGTCAGAAGTCATATACTAGTTTTAGCACGCTGGAGATACCTATCTACAAACATGCGAGATGTCCTCTCGCGCCTTGCCGTCTGTGCAGTGGTCAATCAACGCCGACAACCTACAGACTTGCAAGACCCTGCGAACCCGTTCTTGCGGTCTGAGGGGCGGGAGGTTGGAAGTGGAAGGCGTTCCTGCGCCGTGTACCATCCCAAATCTGTGAGGGCGTTGTTTACAAAGGAAGAAGAGGATAGCGAAGATGACACAGAAATAGCGACGGTGATAACTAATGAATGCGGTACGGATGACAATGGCGGTGCTCATGCTGATGTAACGGGCTGACGAGTCCAGGATCGGAAGAGGAGTTGCTCGTGGAAGGTAACCAATTTAGTGAATTCAATGGAGCTCATGTCGCGAACGAGATGCAGAACATGCAGTCATGACAGGGCCGGCGTGCAAGTGAGAGTCAGTCGAGTGACTGTGAGTGGGTGTATGCGTGAGCCGGCCATCAAGCTAGAGGTCTTGAGTCAGTGCATCAGGATCGAATGGTGTTTTCCTGACGACCGGAAAACAATCACCCCGTGCGATCTGCATGACAAGCGGGTGTTTCCAGCAACCAATCGCCGCCAAGTCGCCAAACCTAAACGTGGACTTGGCCAAGACCGTCTCAAAGCGAAGGTCTAGACTTCCATCGCCTCTCTCCATCTCCTCAGAACGTACAGTGGATAGCGCAGACAAGCAGAAGCCTCGCATGGCAACATCATGCAACATCCGCATATGAAAATAGAATCTGCCCGAGCATCGCTCGCGAGCTCGGGCAGGCTCAGCGGCTCGTGCGAGTTCGAAGCGCGTGTGCACGCTGTGCCTAAGCTAATGACTCCGGCGGAACAAAAAGGTCTGAAGCTTCCATGTTCGGCCCAGCGGCATCGAAGGGAGCTCAAGGAAGTCAGCCATTGCAGCGCTTGGTGCAAAGGCGCCCGCGCTGTCACAATGCGGAGGTCCTTGAACATTACTCTGGCGACATAGAACCCGCCTCCGCGTGACCGGATGCCCGGGGGTGGCTTCTTGGAAGCGGGGCCACGGCCGCGAACCTCAGAGACAGGCCGCCCGGACACCAAGTTCGACTCCAAGGCCAGCAGGATCTCGTCCGGGTAGTCTTTTAGCTGGCGTTCGTAGTCAGTGTAGTCATCCTCTGCGGCGTCATTCAGAAGCAGATAGCCGCAGCTTGCAGCTTGTCCGTTGATAGTCCCTGCACGCAAACAATGCAGCTCCAAGTCTGAATGCACTGCAGGAGGCGAGCAGCAGGCCTCCCTTTTTGAGGCGCTTCGACGACCAGTATTCGTGGGGCGGCTTGCGCTTCCGTCGTAGGCGAAACATGCCAGCATCAAGAGACAAAGGAGATAGGCATGTCTGCACTTATGGGCACCTGCGGGGACGCCCTCAGTAGCATCATGTCTTCATCGCATTTGCTTGTAGTCTCAGGCTGCTAGAGAAGAAATCGAAGCCATTAGTGCGGTAATTTAACTAGGTCTTCACACGGCATGGTCAAGACCCAAATCGTTGAAGGTTTACTCTGTTCACATTGAGCATGTCGACACAGCTGCGACATGGCTTCAAGAAGAAAGTTTTGCGAGAGATGTACATGTTGGCTGGTGACGTTGATTCGTCGTAATGTCTTGTCGAAACGAACATGCCGCAACGAGCTTGTGAGAAAAAGCAAGTTCGGCCAGCTCGGCTGTTTGCAGGAAGCATAGATCACACAACACTGCACGTGTGCATGCATCAAGGCACTGCCGCAAGCAAAGAGTTCCTGCGCCGGCATTCGATTCATGATGCTGCCCCCAGCAAGATGCTCAAGAGGAGCACTGCGCAGCGCAATAAGCTGACCCTGTACAAGAACGGCAGAAAATGCTTGTCCCTCTTCAGACTGTGCAAAGATTTGCAGCGTGCTCGATCACTTGCTTCGGTTGCTTCAGGCAAGAGAAGTCTTGAAGAGACTGCTTACAACCCTGCGAGCGTCTTGCACAGCCTGCAGTTCCAATGACCGACAGTAACTTGTGTGGTACAAGATGGTACAAGTATGCGCAGTGTCAGGTGCCAGTTTTGCCCTTCCACATCCGGCCCCGGCAGCGCGGGCTAAGCCCGCATGTGCCGCGCCCGGAGTCGCACGTCGCACACTACATGAGATATCATGAGACCTTTACTGGATCAACCGCTGCAGCTTCTGCAGGTCCTGCCAGCGTCGCAAGTCCCCTTTCGTCAGGCACACAGATGGCGCCTGGGGGGATATGTGGTCAAGCTGTGCACAGGCCACAAAGTCCCTCGGAGTGAAAGCGAGCCCTTGCCGCAGTTCCGGGAAGCGCTGCACCGCTCCGGCGCCGTCAACGCTAAGCAGACATCCCTGGAGCTCCGTCTGCGAATCGCAGCGATGTAGAAAAGGAGCGGTCCACTTCTCTCGCATCTTGGAGACAGACAGAAGCTCCACTAGCCATATCTTCTGTCTCTTCAGTACGAAGGCCGCGCAGCCGTAAGCTCCATTTCCCTTGCCGTAGTTGCATGGATATGGAGAAGCTTGGAGCAATGTGGAGGACTCGCGTTCAAAGAGCCGAGCAAAGGCGTTGCCATCACCACAAGTTGCTGCAGCCACAAGGGCCCTTGCTCTAAGGAACTCGTCCGCATACAGAATCTGCGTTGCGATGGGGATCTCGTGGATCAAGTTTGAGTTGCCGACATCCGGGGTCACAGGGTCCAAGATGCACGGGAACGGCCAAATCCGGGAGCCCATGTACTCTTCCGAAGAACCACACATACTGACGGTGTCAGCTGGCCAGACCAAGGACTGAAAAAAGTGGTCCAGTGCGGCTAGAAGCCGCCCACAATGGCTTGCGTTTTGTGTTTCTTCAGCGAGGAAGGCTTGCAGCCTTTGGACCGCAAAAAGTATCCAAGCCAGAATGGGATAGCCACCCTCTTTCGTGCCGGGTATCTGGCGCCGTGAGTGCCAGTATTTTATACATCTCAGAAAATCCACAACCTGTCCCAAAGACCGCTAACCATCAAGGGCAAGCTGTCTACAAGCGCAGTACACTTAGGACTTCTTATGGGCCGAGCGACAAATTCCTGCTCCTCCTGAAAGATGCGCAGGCTCTGAAACCAGGAGACGTGCTCATCCTGGGATAGTTGCTTCCCAATCCCCACTAACTGGCACCTCGCATCATTGCCTCCAGAACATTTAGGCCATGAGGAGGCTGCAACTCCCGCAACACTCTAGCCTAGGTCGCATCAGCGGCTTATTTCTGTTGTGCCAGGCTGCCGGCAGCTTCCGATTCACAGATAAGTCGAGAGAGGCCATCCTGTCGCCGGTCGAAACCTCGAAGTCTGAGGGATGTTCAAATTGTCTACACATGGCCCCGTCACGCAGTGGCAAGACAGCATGCCGAGGAGAGCGGCCATGATAATTGGCACCCTAGCGCGGTCGATGACCTGCACGCGAAGCTGGGGCTCCTCCGGCAGGGATCTGAAGCATTCAACAGAGCTAAAGCAAGCTTCCTCAGAGTCGACATGCTCAACAATCTAGTCTGTGGCAAAGCTCCTTCTGCCTCAGCAAGGCGGCCATGTCGTTGAGGGCTTGGATGGCGTCGATGGGAGTTTTGGTAAACACGACAGCATCGACATCCTTGCACGGACTGGCAGAGCAGCATCACAACCTCGACACCCCAGCCCCAGCTCATGTCCAAGGGGCAGAGCTGGGTACATCTATCGTCAAGGCCACCTCAGCTGGGATCTGAGCACCCTTGAACCAGAACTTCTGGGTTTTGGAATGTTTTAGAGATCCCTCAGCTCCGGGCACTGCCTACCAGTGCCATGCGCTCGAAGCTAGGCAAAGCATCTGCGGCTGCGTCCCTGCATGTCAGACGAATGCACATGTCTGGATCTCTTGGGAGCACACAAAGCCCTGACTGCCTGACTGTGCTGAAGAGCTCCTCCCTGAGAGGGAGCAACTTCGCTGATTCATTCCGCCTGAAGCGTTGCCAAAGCTGCGGTTCTGCGCGGCGGAAGTGCGTCCGATTGCAGATAAGCCACAACAACGCCAATATCTGACCAACACCTAGGACACAAGCTCACGCATGAATTTGCACATTGACATGGCATGGATCTGGGCAAGCTGCAATCATCAGACGAAGGTCTAGCACCGCTGACATCATCTGGAGTCTCTGAGCAACACCTCAGAAGTCATGAATAGTGACCGACCCATCGTTCTGCGGTGACTCGATTTTCAATGCAAGCCTCGTGTGGTAGGCGGTTGGAGTTCTGAACGCTTTCGAAGCCAAGCCACTGCTCACTTTGGACATCGCCGTCTTGGCTGAACATCTCGTGGCAGATGGCCTGCGCAACACCGGCAAGCTCCTAAGACATGATTGGCAGCGAAGAGTCGACGAGGTACATGCCAGAAATTTTCCTCTTTCGCACTTAGCAAGGCTACAACCCATAATTCTCAGTTCTCAAGGCTCGGGTTCCTTCTACACTCCCTTCCGCAGCTTGCATGCAGGGTGTGGAGCTATCTTTCGACTCAACTCACCCGCACACTTGCACCACTTCGCTTTGGAATGAATCCCACAACCGTCAGTTGGCAGACCCGACCAACAAAAATGAACAAAGCCTGAGTCTGTCGTGCGTGGCAAGTCGTGATCGCATCTTCTGTTCTGGAGTATCGAGTAGCGGGCTGGCGAGTGCACAGGGAGTTGGTTGGTTCGGACAGCATCCCTGAACCACTTCTTGATTGCAACGCTGCCTGTTTCGCTGAGACAGAAAATCTTGAAGCATTCTGGCAGTCTTCTAATGCCGAATGATTTGTTGGATAGCGGTAGATATTCTGTCATTGCGGAAATGTGAAGTTGCGGATCCGCAATGTGTTTGCTATACTTGTTCTTGGTATGCTCATGTTCTGACTGCTGGTGTCAACGAACAGCGATCAACACTTCGCTGGGCAGCTAGGCGTTGTCTGTTGGTCGGGGCTGTACAGCGACTGAAAATTACAGGTGTGGCGCTAGTGGTGTGGCGCCAGTGGCTCCAGCGCCTCTGTATGCAAGGAAGTCGTTGCCGCCGTGTTCGTTTCAGATGCTGCATCCACATCTGACAGCGGCTTGATGGTATCCTGAGCAGTTGCAAGAGAGGTAGGTCCCAGATGCCAGCACGCAATATCAAAGCACAGGCAAGAAGCTGTCAGTGCTAGACTCTGCTTTGGAGAAAACTTTGGTCTCCATATTCGTCGCCTGGAGCTACGGCCAGAGCAGGATGAGAGCTGAAGCACAGTGCTTGCCCAGAAAACGGCAAGGCATCTCGCACCCAAAACGGCCGAGACGCTGGGTATTTGACTTGTGCCTGCCACCCTCGGACACGAATTCATTGTGCCAGCAGGAAACGGGGTTGATGGGCTTCGGCACTTGGGTGCAGCTTTGAGACGGCGCGGAACTGGTCGTGCCGCGGCTTATGACTATGAGGCATGCTCCTCGGGTAACTCCAAAGCTGCAGAACACTCTTCGCTGGTTTTATGAACGCCGAGAGACCTTCGCAACGAAGGCTGCTGCGGCCGCTGCGATGCTGCCTTGGGAGGACAACAAACTCTTCATGCAGCAGACGGGATGTGGGATCATTGTCTGCAGCTGTCCCAGCCATGCGGCGATTTCGGCGCAACTGACGGCAGTGCACCCGCCCGCAGGCTCTGAAAGGTTCTCAGACTTCCCCCGCCTGGCAGACCGGGCAGGTTCTGCTAATGGAATGTCTGTCACTAGGCTGTGATTGAAACCACCTAGTGCCCACTTGCCCGAATCCGAAGGCAAGAGGCTCCCATGAAGGTTTCCAGGGCTCCACCTGATACAGTTCAATATTGAGCCAGCGGCTGACTGAAGCTGCACAGCAGCAAGAAAAGTCAAGGTGAGACCTGCGCCACAGAGATCCACTCTTCCTTCCAGCGTTGCTCCTGCGCCGTCTGTTGTTGCTCTTTCCGTACTGGCGTGCCGTGGCGCGCCACGTCTCCTCTTCTTGTTTCAATGAGACTCTGCCTTGGCCACATCCTCGGCACGCAACTTCGATCTCTCGCACCGGCCATAGAGATTTGTGATCCTGCCTGGGCTGCGTCTGCAGCCTCGCATGTCGACGAGGTCCGCCCAGGGGTGAAAATTGCCTTGAATCTTGACGGGAAGAGCTCAGAACACATAGACAGAAAGAGAAACCGCACGTTCGCACACATTGCCTTACACCATGCACGGACATCATGATGGATCATTTTCCCGCCACTTGTATTTCCTGGAAACAAACATCACAGGTCGTTGTAGGTTAAACCAAGGGTGCGCTCACACCTGGTCCCAGAATTGGCAGGCAACAAGCTTCGGCTTTTACGTGTGTTTGCTGACAAGCTGCTGTACAAGCAGCCAGGTCCAGCAGCCAAGTTGAAGCAACTGGGAAGACTAAACCGCTAGGGCCCTGTGCGTCATGGAAACCAATAAACACGTTGATCCTCTTGGCAATTGATAACTGGGCAAGCCTCTCACCACTTGAATCTTCTACGAACAAAGCCATGACTGCATGGGAGTGGGGCAAAGATTAGAGTCGATCCTCAAAGCATTCTTGATGGGCACTCCCAGGCCGCGATATATCCCCTTGAGCCGCGATCGGGTGCTTTAAAGCTGAAACCCTCGGGATTGCTCTGGGGCTATACATGCCAGATGACTTTCATGGTCTGGGGAAAAGCGGTCCTGAAAAAGCACAGTATCAACGAGACCTTAATTATGATGTGCAGAAGACAGGGCCTGTTTGCTTTGAAAACCCCCCGCTTCTGCCACGTCCGGCAGCGCAACGCCAATCATAGCATCGCGTGTCACCACGGAGGCAAGCCGTTCTTCCGACCAGCCCTCAGTACCCACAGGGCGCTGGGGCAAAACGATATATCTTAATTCAGAGTTGGAATCGTGCACTCGGAGTTCCACGTTTTGTGGAATTTCCAGGCCGAACGACTCTCTCAACAGCTCTCGCGGTCTTTGCACTGCTTGCTCGCGATATTCGCGAGATTTGTACCATGCTGGGGACAAGCCCAACAAAGTGACCGGGTAGCAGGAGCACAACGTGCAAACAACCAGATTATGCACCAAGGGTGTCGATTCAACCACTTTGATCTTCACGGTGGACGTAGAGCTTGTCGCCTCGTGACCCATCAACTCAATGGCAGCATGTGCATCTTCGAGAAGCAAGCTTTTGAAGCGAGTGTCGCACCAAGCACGCGCCACAATCCACGGACCTACGGGATGGACTCCCAAGGAGTCGATGACCTCCATTGCCCTAGAAACCGCTGACATAGCCAGGATGCCCCTGGAAATCAACACCTGCAAGAGTGCCTCAGTGACCCGCTGTCCCGGCGTTTCTCTGCCTTCCTTCTCCACTGCTTGTGCCTCCACGATGGATCGTGGAAGATGCTCGTGTCGCTCGTGCCTGCCCTGATGTCTGTGAATTTCAAGACCATGCGATCGAAATTCAGCATGCTTCGATGCAAAGTCGTGCATGCTCTGCGCGATGGTCTTCAGGCTCTGACGCAAGTGTCTCCTCTTGGGGGCTTTGGGGGCGTTCGCTGCCCCAGGCACTTTTGCACCTGCCTCTGCCTCAGGCTTCAGTGCCTCAAGCCAGCACTGGGAAACTTCAACGGTGACGAGTCTTTCAGAACCTGTCGACAGTGCTTCTGGATCAATGTTCACCGCATACATGTATTGCTTGCAGGTTGTGTCCGTGCCCAAACCGAGGCTCTTTTGCAGAGCAAAAAAACTGTCATCTGATCGGAGGCCCAGTCTCTTTGCTACGGCACCCCGCAGCCCAGCCACGCTGCCAGGAACCGGCAAGTATGGCCTCCGCCACTGCGATGCAGGACTTGTCTGGGTCCGGTCTTTAATCCTCACCGCCGCCCCAACCTTGAAGGTTTCGCCAACCTTCTCTGGACTCCGCCCTCCCAAAGCCACGTCCAGTTCATCCAAATCGATGATGCCCTGCTTCAGCAAGAGCTTTGCAAGGGCAGCAGCCCATTTTCCATAGTAGCCCCACTCACCGTCCCCGAAACACTCGTCGTTCAGTCCGAGGACCTCTTGCTGCAATTCGCTCGTTCTGACATGCTCTGTAGATACCAGCACCACTACGAGCGCATGTATCTGCTGCTCCCAGTGCTGAAGCTGCCTGTCATCAATTGCAATGCTGCCAGAGGTACTGTCACCGCTGTTCCTGCCGGTGCTGCTATTTTGAAGCGGCTCCTGGCCAGCCCCATCGTCCAACGCAAGCAAGTCGTTGGCTGGGCCAGCTCTGCATCGGCATGGATGGAAAGCAACTTTGGCGCCAGTCGTGGAACTAACTGACCGACGAGTGCCCTGTGGCAGCCGAAGCGACACCAACGCAATACCTGTCGCGAAGCTGCATAAACGGAGCATTCTTGGCGTTGACCCAGCTGAGGTGCTACTAAGATTGATTGATGGCACGGCAGTTCCATGGCTACTTGTGCAAGTTGTGAGCATAGGCATTGCCAGGCGGCGACTCATGAAAATCTGAGCCCGTGCGGATGCCACTATTGGGCCAATGCCGGGATGCAGCGCCATGCTTGCTCTTGGCGCTTGGGCCAAGAAGCCACGACAACTGGAAGGCAAGACACGTACCCTGAAGATGCAACGATCCAGCCGGTGGCTGCTTGCAGTGGGAGAGTCAGGCGGTGCCACTTGCAATGGGAGATTACTGTACAATAAGTTGTGCACCGCCTTGTCCGGTGTCGCACTTAATTCCAATGCAGGCCCCAACGAGGCAGGAAGACCTGGGTGCTCCGGCACTGTGCAGCTATACACCACCATGGCACACACCATATATATATATATATATATGCACACGCACGCCTGCACGCGTGCACGCCAGCACCGAGACATCTATCTATCTCTTTCTGTCTGTACTATCTATTTTTCTTTGTATGTAGGTACATATGTATGTAAGTATGAATCCATGCAATTATGTATGCATGTATGCATGTATGCATGTGCGCATGTATGTATGTATGTATGTATGTATGTATGTATGTATGTATGTAACTACAGATACATACGACACAAACAGAAATATGTGTCTAGGTGTAGGTATATATATATATATATATAGATTGCTATCCCCCCTCAAGGGTGTTTGATGGAGGAGTAACCCGGAGTCAGGATTCAAACGCGCGAGCAACGTGGGGATTCAATAGTCTATTGACATAGCTCGCACGTCGCATGACACAACGACAGTTGTAGATTTAGGCAATGCTGGACCCCTGGTGTAGTACCAGCATCACGAAAGGAGTACTCGCCCAAGTATAGTTTAAGTACTGGGTTGAAAGGATTTAAGTAACAACAAATAAACAATAACTACTTGTAACCGATAGCTTTCGACCAAATGTTCATAGATTCGCTTGCCACTTATACTCGATTATAATTGTCATCATTTTGCCACCTGGATTGGCAGGTCCTTACAACTTGTTCTTTGTTACGGTATTGGTCATTGGTTCCTTACTCGGTGCTTCGTCATTACAGATTACATTAACTCATATTCTCCTTCTGCTTAGTTCAATAGTACTGAAGCAAGCTCATACACGTGTTGTGTACAGTATGTGACATGACAGGAGTTCGGCGCATCTTTGCATTTGATCTTTTTTCCTCCTCGATGAAACTCTGCTGTCTAACATTAAAGAAAAGTCAGCAATTACTTCTTCAACCATTGCGTCTTGATTGGATTTCTATGTGGTATGCTTACTGCATTAACAAAGGTTTCATCAGTATTGTCATACCAGTTAGGTGCTATGCTACTTGCATCTGCACTGGCTAATACATGGTGTTCCTGGATGGGTTGTGTCACTATGTTGAATACAAATTTCAAATATTTGACTCGTTTGACCCAGCTATTTCGTGCGTAGAATGTGTCGATTGCCTCATTTTTTACATACCCATGACTAATGTTTCAGTCGTATACGCTTAAGACCTGGACTGTCAACAAAATGTTACTCGGCATACCTTAAGTCAAAATTGTATGACATGGGAACTTATGTGTAGCTAGCTGGTACTTAACCTGGGCTTAATCACTATTCAGATTAGTTTGACTTATACTCCACGTCTGCATGGTCCACAAAGATTGACGCAAACTCATACACGTGCGGTTGACATTATGTACAGTATGTGTCATGATATGATTCAATCCCTCTCAATGAAGCACGGTTTTTACTATCTAAACGATGAACCGATGCTTTTTTCAATTCCTAGGTCTTGTTTGGTTTCTTATCTGGTATTATTCTCTAATTTTTAGTTAGACGCTGCGCTACCTGCATATTCAAGGGCTGGTAATGTCCAATGTCTATGGTAATGGTCTGTATACTGGTGTTGATTCCTTACCGCATTAGTCCAACACCATGTGTAGAAGTACATACCTCAAATAACTAGATAATGCTTTGACGGAAGCATATTGGTCGAATATTGAGCGTTCGTGACTAATAGGTTCTGGTGTGTTTGATGAAGAAAAGTCCTGAACACTCGAGACTATATTAAATGTAGCAGAAGTCCTAACACATGTATTATGAACATTATTCTACTTCGGGGATAACAACTAATGAAAACCAGCTGGGTGAGAGATGAAAATGTTACGAATGTACACAAACCAGAATTACCCTGCATCGTCTTCAAGCACCAGCTCTTGAGAAACACATATACCCCTGGAGCCTCCAGTTGAACCCTTTTTGAGAACAACATCTTTGGAACAAGAGTACATAAGATTTATCCCCCTCGTGATTTTCATCAGATCGAAAGCCTCACACAAGCCTACTGTAGGCAAGCGCGGCGGAAAAATCCAAAAAATTGGCGGAGATGCCAATGGAATTTAGGACTGTTGGATTTCCATGACAATCGAAAAATTCTAACATTCCAAAACTGGCTCTGGCATCTCCACGAACATATTGGATTTTCGATTTTATTTTGCCGGAATTGGCCTGTTGGTAGAGGGGTGCTACTTCCGAGGGAACACAACTTTGCTCTATGGGTTTAAGACATTCGAAGTATATGCATATGTGTGTATATATCAACTGCATCCACTACTCCAGGCTGTGAATCATCAGGTGCCCGTGACAGTAAGCAGAATCTTGCATAAGTTGCCGCAGAGCACCATTGGGACCCCAACATTATGGCTTCAGCCTTTTGCGGCGATGCGACTGGCCCTTGCACAGCCTCCTTCGAGCATGTCCACGACCTCCAGCAGAAACGATGGGTGCCTTCAGGCGGAAGGCGCCGCCCAAGCAGAATCAGCCATCCTTGCAGTCACGGCAGTTGACATACAGACGATTTCTTTTCAAAAAAATCGTCTTTGCCTGCGGCATCGGAGGAGGGGGTGGCACCTTCCCGAGACTTGTAATGAGCAGTCACAACCCCAGTACTTGCTGCGCCAGAAGACCTTCGCTCAGGACATACCCAGAGGCAGGTCGCTCTGACGACACATCTCCTGCACCTACTACCCTCAAAGTGACTGGAGGAAGGCTTGCCTTCATCACCTCATCCGGTGCCGCCTGCTGTCCACACTGAGACACAACAACTCCCAATAACTCCAGAAGACATGCAAAAGCACCTTGCCTCTGGTTCAGGCGTCGATGCTTGCACAGCATCACCGGCGACAGCACCTGGTTCCTGCGGCTGCCCACGCGGCTACCACCATGCACTGCGTTGCACTAGCTTCGACGGGCCTTCGGCTTCGGCACAGCTGGGCCCTGTCCATGCACCAGCGAGCTAACCCACATCGTCAACGATCCAATGCCGGGTGCCTTCGCCGGTGGCAGTGGCACCTGCAAGCTGTCCATGCCGTGCACGGCCCTCAGAGCATTTTGCGTAACTCACGTTTGCAGCGCCTGAACGCCAGGAACAGCGCCCACCTTCGCACCTGGCTCCTTCATAAGAAGTGAATTCCACGAGTGCTGCACCTTCGACTTCCGCGCTACTGGCCTTTGGCTTCGGTAAAGGTGTGCTAGCCTGCAAACCACAGTCGTAGCTACATTATTGTGCTAAACACGTCCCCAAGCATCACTGCAGCACTCGTGGGTGCCTTCGTGTCAGCAAGAGCGGATGTCGTCGCATCACCCACCTCCTGTCAAACAGTGCTGGTGCATTCCCTCATCTAGTGGGCTTGACATCCTGTACACGAGTGACACCGACCCTGACCGGCGGCAAAAACTCAAGCAACAACAGCGACGCAGTCGTCGCACAAGCTACACCGCACAAAAACATTCGCACAACTAGGCCCTAGGCTTACTCCCGTGATTGCAGGGCCTGAATGCCAGGAGCATCGCCCGCCTTCGCACCTGGCTCCTGCGTAGCACTTTCTTCCGCGAGTGCTGAACCCTCGACTTCCATGCTACTGGCCTCTGGCTTCGGCACAGCTGGGCCCTGTCCACGAGCCAGCTAGCTAACCAACATTGTCAACCAGCCACCGCCCTTGCCTTCGCAGGTGGCGGTGGCACCTGCCAGATGTCCATGCCGTGCACGGCTCCCAGCGCACTAAATGCACTAATGACTAAGCGTTACTGTTACTGGCGTA